CCAGACAACTTGAAACGTGCAATCCCAATTCCTTAAGAATAAGGTGTGTATTGCTCCCTCTGGCATTAGGAGTTCAGGTTGCTGTCCTCCAGACAACTTGAAACGTGCAATCCCAATTCCTTAAGAATAAGGTGTGTATTGCTCCCTCTGGCATTAGGAGTTCAGGTTGCTGTCCTCACAAGCCACCACTGACTTGGAATGTAGGGGACTATAGACAGGCAACTTAAGATGCCACAGCACTCTCTTTACTACAAAGCAGCAATTTCTTTCTTCACCAAGCCTTGCCCTAGATTTTGTACATTTTTTACTAGATTTCATAGTTATGCAAAAATTGACAGTATTTGTGGTCTTGTTAATTGCCTTTTTGGGGGAATGAAGCCCTAGAGTTCCCTACTCTGCCATTTTTGGTGATGTTACCCCTGCTGTAGATATTTTTCAGAATGTATATATCATTACCCAGAAGTAAGAAAATTGGAAGAGAAAAAGTTTATTTATGCATATAGGAGAGATTATTTTTATTTGGACATGGGTGTTGGGTTTGAGGTGCTGATGGTGTTGTGGCAGTGTGTACAGCTAGTGTTACAGCTCTTGTTACAGCTCTTATTCATTTGACCAGGGAAAAAACCGAGCGACACATGAAGAGTCGGAGAACAGCCTTTATTCTTCTACAGCAGACACACCTAGTGTTACAGCTCTCTTCATGTCTTCCGATGTTCTCCCAATATTCTCCCCTTCCTGCCCTTTTGCCCCTGCTTTTATACCCTTGGTAGGGCTCAAGAAGCATCCAGTCAACTACAAGCTTTAACATCCAATCAGCAACAGGCTTTAACATCCAATCAACAACAAGCCTTAACATCCAACCAAAAACAGTGGGATTCAAAAATTACCCAATCAGGATCACGCAAGGAGTGTGGCCGGAAACAGGCCGTGGCACAAGGACCTGGGGCATTCCGGCACGCAGGTGTCCAGGGCGTCTGGGCACTGCGGGGCCAGCCCTAGCAGCGTGCCTCTAACTGGCCACGCGCAGCACTGGCCCCCGGAGATGCAGAACTACGGGGAGGCAGCAATCAGCCGTGACCTGGCACCCGACATTTTCCACATCAGTGGCACAATCTTTGAATGTCAAGTGACAATTGGAATTGTAGTACTTGATTCCAGGAAGATCTTAGAGCTACAAAGAGATCTGGGAACCTAAGCAGAAGTTATAGAAAATTAAAGTATATAATTTTCTTAATACTAGAAGGGATGGTCAAATATGGCATCTCGGAAAATACTTTCAACTAAGAAATCATTCACTTACTCATTCAGCAACCATTCACTTTGTTCATATTACTAACGTGGGTACTGCTGAGTACTGGAGATATGAGGGAATAAGATCTAATTTTCTTCCCTGAAGAAGTTCACTCTCATATTAAGAAAGGCAAATTAGCAAGTACAATGCAATTTATAACAACAAGGGTTAGAGGAGGCCAAAGGGAGGCATACAAAAACATATAAATAAGTCAGGAGGGAAAACAAGAGACTCTGGGAACTCAAAGAGGGATAACACATAATGGAGAGAGTGATGTGTGACCTTGTTAGCTGCATAGAGAATTTGAGAAGGCTGAGAACTGAATGGTACTGATTTGGCAGTAAGGAGATAACACAGTTTTCATCAGAATGGTTTTAATTGAGTAGTTTTGGTAGAATGGTAGAGATAGAGAATCAGATTATAAAGTTAGGAGTGTGAATGAGTGGTGAAAAAGTTGAGGGAAAAGGGGAAGACAACTTTATAGAGAATGGTACAGTTTAACACATTGACTGCTACAATTAGAAAAAAATGTTTTTTCCTTGGGGCCATGGTGTTTTATGAAAATCGAATAAAAACTTCGAAAACAAAATGATACTTTCTAATTTAATAAAATATTTGTACTTTTATTGTTTTCTGTGCATGAGTTATATGCAACTTGAAAAATAACTTCTCATGGCTCCCAAGTTGAAGAGATGTGTGAGTTACATATGCTTCACAAGGTCCTGGGCTCAAAACTAACCTGAGTTAAATACAACTCTCATGGCAGTTAATGTATTAAAAGGAGTAACAGAGTTAAAGTAACTTTATTTGGGAGAAGAGATTCAGACAATTAAAGGGACTGGATAGGAGGGAAACAAGGATGGCAAAGAGTTCCAAAAGATCAGGAAGATGATATTAAGAATGCAGAAAAGTCAGGATTTGGAAATTTGGGTGAAGAAAGAGAGTGAAGGTAGTGAGAAAGAGTTTTGAGACTGAGAAGGAATTTGAGAAATTCTACCTAGGAAAACCTCAGCTTTCTAGGTAAAGCAGAGCACAAAATCACGTGCAAAGAAATGAGCAGCAGTGGCAATGCCTGACTGAAGTTGATGTAGCATGCATTTGTGTTGATAATACCATTTGGTGATTTTTCTCATTTCTTTCAACAAATATATATTGAGCATTTATTGTGTACTAAGCACTGTACAAGTGAACAAAGTAAACAAAAATCCCTGTCCTTGTAAAGGTTACATGTGAATGAGGGAACTGGGGGGGGGGGACAAACAAGTAAATTATATATATTTAATATATTGTTTCAAAATAAATATGAGGTAAATAGAGCTAGGAACTAAAACAAATGGGAAGATTACTTAGATGTAACTACAATTTTGTATTGCATATCAAGTTCTAATTTAAGTTACTATCTTATTTCTGTACAGCTAATTGTAGAGTCTAGGTTAATAAAACAAGAGAAATATGGATTTGGTATATGGCCTTTGCATCTTTGGTTGTAGCTATGAGAAATAATCTATATTCACATTTAACAGAAAATACATTGATTTAGAACAACTTTATGTAGTTATTTCACTTTGACAAGAGAAAAGACAAGATGAACTGTCATATAATAACTGAAATTAAATCTTCATTTGGTATGAAAAGAATTTGTATCTCATTTCCAAAAACATGATTGTACCCCATAGGAATTTGTTATCTAAATTTAAAGGCTTAACAAAAACTACACAGAGTTGAAGATGCTTTGTTAATTACTGAATAAATTGGGATTTTTGATAATCATTTTATATTCTCTTCTTGTTACCCCTTTTTATTTAAACAGGTATTGGAAAGGTGAAAAGAAAACCTAGTGTACCAGATTCTGCATCTCCAGCTGATGATAGTTTTGTTGACCCAGGGGAACGTCTCTATGACCTCAACATGCCTGCTTATGTGAAATTTAACTACATGGCTGAGAGGGAGGATGAATTATCATTGATAAAAGGGACGAAGGTGATCGTCATGGAGAAATGCAGTGATGGGTGGTGGCGGGGTAGCTACAATGGACAAGTTGGGTGGTTCCCTTCAAACTATGTAACTGAAGAAGGTGACAGTCCTTTGGGTGACCATGTGGGTTCTCTGTCGGAGAAATTAGCAGCAGTTGTCAATAACCTAAATACTGGGCAAGTGTTGCATGTGGTACAGGCTCTTTACCCATTCAGCTCATCCAATGATGAAGAACTTAATTTTGAGAAAGGAGATGTAATGGATGTTATTGAAAAACCTGAAAATGACCCAGAGTGGTGGAAATGCAGGAAGATCAATGGAATGGTTGGTCTGGTGCCAAAAAACTATGTTACCATTATGCAGAATAATCCATTAACCTCAAGTATGGAACCATCACCTCCACAGTGTGATTACATTAGGCCATCACTCACTGGGAAGTTTGCTGGCAATCCTTGGTATTATGGCAAAGTCACCAGGCATCAAGCAGAAATGGCATTAAATGAAAGAGGGCATGAGGGGGATTTCCTCATTCGTGATAGTGAATCTTCGGACAGAGTGGTGCACCTTCTTTCCCTTACTTCCCACTTACCTTGTTCTGAGGAGGCAGGTATAGTGCCTATTTACCTGAACTCCGGATACCAGGAAAGTTCAATTAGACTTCCTCTCTCTGTCTACTCTCCCCTCTTGCTCTCCACACATTTTTCTTCTTTCTTTCACCCTTTTGCACATTACACATTCACTTTATACACCTACATCAGCACAAAGTCACACATTAATTATCGATTTGATAAGTGAACGAAAGTATGGATATCCTTTATCAAGAAAAAGAAAAGCCCACTTTTTAAGAAAAGTTAAGTGTGACCAAAATTTCAGATATCCTAAACTAGTACTCCCAAACAACATAATTATATTTATAATTAATTTTAGGGTTTATCATTTCTATGTTTTACAAGTGGTACAATTTACCTTTTATTATCAAATGCAATTTCAAAACATAGATTGGTTAAAAATAGATTTGAGTAATAAAAAGTGGTCAATCTAAATTCCAAACAACCAATTTACTGAAGAAACTAATATTAATTAATTCAGGGATTTACTATGTGATACAGATCACAGTGATTATCTTCTTATACACTAACATCCAAGGAGCAATTAAGAAATGTTTCCCAGTTTAATGCTATGTATATTATTGTATACTTTCAACGAAAAGCCAATGTTCAATTTTCTCCATTTTTCAATTTTATGCAACAGAAAATATTTCAAGAATGCAAAAACAAACAGAACTAGACAAGACTAAATAATCTAGCATAGTATTACTGCTACAGCTTTTATTCAAATAGATATCAATTGGAAAGAACACTGACTTTAGCTTCTGAACATTTATGCTTATGTCCCAGCTTATACCCTAGTTAACTTTAGGGAAGCACTTAACCCTCATAATCTCTGTTTCTTTTTTAATACCCAGAACTATTTGCATTTACCCTTGAAACTCCACTTAC